TTGATTTTTGATTCCGTTGAAGCTCACTAAAGGAGTATTACTTTTACGATATGCAATATAAAATATAATTGTGTAACAGCACACAATAATAAGAATTGCACAAGTAATGGAAGCTGCAAATATTCCAATAGCAGCGTAATTTGAGGAATCAACAGATAACGAAATCCAGCAAACATTCTGGTAGGTATATCTACCCAAGCCATACTTTTCAAAAGGCAGTAGTGGAATAATGGCTAATGGAAGAGGTACGAGCCAAACTGCTGCAATTGATATTGCATAACGCGATGCTCGTAAATCTGATAAATAATTATATGGATTATAAACAGCAGAACATCGATCAACACTTACTGCTGTTGCCATTACCAGTGATGCCCCATTGAATAATGTTACTAAAAAACCTTGTATCTTACACAGGATAGCATCGCTGCCTTGAAGTAATGCCGAAATAGCACAAGGCATTACAATTAAACCCGTCAGGAAATCTGTGATAGTAAGTGCTGTTAATAAACAGTTGTTGATCGGCCATAAGGCTGGAGAGTTGTAAATAATGACTAAGTTGAAAAAATTAGCTCCAACAGATATTATAGTAATTAAAATTAAAGTAAAAAGCTGCATGTAAAGGTAATGTCCATCCTCTCTCGCGGAATAGGTAGTATTAAATGATGTGGTATTCTCCATGGAGGATTTTTCTTCCAACGCCGCGTATTCTGACAAAAACTAATTTCTTCAATCTAGCCACTTTCGATTTTGTAAAATTTGTTAAGAATTAAGCATACGATTTCAGTTAGCAAGAACAAATAAATTAAAGCATCATCAAATCAAGTAGCGAAATATAATTAAAATAGGTCTATGAAATCAATAATGTTATTGTAGTTTAATCGAGATGAATAGCAATCCAGATTAAAAAATGCACCTTATTGTTGTATTGATAACATTGTCAAGTTAATAAAATAACAAAGGAAATTAAATTTTCCATTTATTTGAAAAAAATTGTCGCAGAACTCTGAACGACAGTTTTAGCTTTATCAAGTTCAATTTTGCGTAATTGCTGGTTCATTTTATGACTAGTGTCGTTGATTGTTATAAGTGATGTAGATCATAAGAGAGGGAGACAATTGAAAAGGCTATTAAAGATTTACTTTATTTACGACAAAATTATTAGGGATAATTCTATTGAAAGGGTTTTACCGGATATACCTATCAAATGCTTTCGTTACTTAATCCAAATTCAACAGTTAAATTTTAAAAGCTATTTCTTTCGTTGCCAAAGCATCATAACAAATATCACGCAGACATGATATTCATGACGATAACAGATTGCTAGTATTTCGAGTCATACTGTAGGTAGATATCAAAGAAATAAACCTGATAGTAGGTTCATAGTGTTGTAATGTTCTGTACTAGTTTTAACCTCATCTTGTTGCAAATTTCGATTTACAACACATACTAGTAATGCAACAAGGCTATGAACATTCACTAATTTGGTTCTCTTATCCCTACATCTGAATGTACTATTTATGACACCTGACCTACCATGAATTGAATTATAATACTAATTCATAGATTCTTAGGATTTCTCATGCTGTTAACGGTAGGTATTTACTACAGCAGAATATTTCTTACTGAATCTTTAGCAACTTTCAAGCATCCAACAATCAGCTGCACTGATAATCGTAGCAAACGTTTCTTATTCCTAAATTCACGTTGCTATTGCATGAAATTTTTCCTCGTTTATGTTTACTTTATGTCATAAGTGCATGAGTGGAATAATTACTGGAAAAGACGCGTGCCACAACGCTTTCTCGTACTATTTATAATTCTTATCGTCATTAAATGTATGATTTTATTCGGTAGTACATGCAATAATATCGAAGGATAAAAACTATTTATATGAAATATCAATTATGAAATTCGCCGTCATTGCCATCGGACATATTATGGAGGTATTTATTTTTGGAAAGCTTGATTCTAGATTAAAACTGTCAGATTATAACCCAGATGTAAATTTTAAGTAATGTCCACTACATTAGATGACTTTTCCAAAGAGAAAATTTAGATGCGACAGAAGAAAACGGATAGCACAATAAAATTACGCCGTTTTTCCTGATGATTTCTTTACATTTTACTAATATTGTAGTATATCTTGTAATTTAATTCATTTATTATTCGCACAGATTATTAAACTAAGGCCATCAGATTTAAAAAAAGCACTAAAAACTACGCTATATTGACTAAATGAGTTCGATATAAAATGACCCACGATTAGGATATTGATTAGCCTGATGTTATTAATATCCATAGTTACTGTTTCACTCTTGTAGCTATCCGTACCATGTTGATAAAATATGATGGTTCAGATTCAAATAATGGACTATGATCTTAGCTTTACCTTGATTGAATATGCTTAACATATAAAAGCTAAAATTTATGATAAACCCATCACTAGAAATTAGCGGTGCCTTCGAAATTTCTAACATTATGTACAGTATCCAATCCCACTTCGATATAATGATATATTATAACTTTGTAAGCAATTGATAATACTAAATCAGCTTTTAAAAGGAAGAGAACTTATATATTTATCCTGTAGCATATTTGTATGCATCGGTAACGCTTGCCATTTTTTATCTCAAGGCAATATTTAAGATGCGTAGGACGTTATGCGAATACAGATGATGCTTGAAAAGATTACAAATCAAAAAATCAAAGAATAATTAAAATTTGACATGAAAATGCCGTTAAACATTATAAAAGAGATATACTTACATCCATTATGGAAATATGAGAATTACTGTGACTTATTGATATCATAGATGAATCTCATTTTATCCTTAAAATGTGGCATTTCTGCAACAAAGAACTATTTTATAAAGTCTCTTTAGCGACATTATCATGCTCCATCTTAAAATCGTATTATTTATAGAGTAAATAAATGGGTTTGTAGCTACAGTGGCGTATTTGAAGAGAAGACCGACTAATTGAGTACGATTAGATAAAGTAAACTTTTATGAAATATAAGATAATACGTTAAATCGCAAATACCAATTACCATCATTAGTAGACGAGATATTATGTTTGTACCAACAATTGACGATGTAGTGCAAACAAATTTTTGAATACCTTCAAAGTGAACTAAAGGCATGTTTGTTTGCTTTATGATATGTGATATAAAATATAATGGAATAGTAGTAAATGATAACCCCGATAGCTATACAGATACCAATCGTAAATATTCCAATATCAACATAATAACATGAATCGACCATTTAAGAAATTCAGAAAATCCCTTGATAAGTACATTTTCCGAAGCCATATATAAGAATTGGTAATAACGCCAACACGATATAGTAAGTGGTACAGATATTAAATGTGTGCTTATAGTGATAATATCATTTCGTGAGCCACGCAATTAAGATAAATAAGAGTTGGAGTTATACACAGCCGAACAACGATCTATGCTAACAGCCCTTGCCATTACTTATGAAGTACCGTTGAAATAGATATAAAGAAATCTTAAATTTTACGTAAAACTTCTCCTTGACCGTAGAATGAAATAATAATTGTAATCGGTATTGCAATCAAGCCGATTAGGAAATCAGTGCATGCTAGTACTATTAAAAGACAATCATTCAACGACCCTAAGGTTGCAGAACAATAAATTTTTATCAAGCTGAATAGATTATCGGCAGTTGATAAATACAAAATAAGATTAGAATTACAAGTTCAATAGCAACATATTTCTTTTCCGACTATTCTGTGATTAGAATTTTCGTTTGAGTTATTGATCTTCGTTAAGTAGGACATAACTGCGAATCACTTTGATTGTCATTAGTATATATTCGATTAAAAGTAATTGATTGGCAATACCGAATCGATATTTTGGCCAGGTTTCTGCACTTTGGTGACAATTTTACAAACTGTATTAGTCATTAGATGTCTATGTTCGTAAATACCGTTGTCTGCATTAGGGAGCATAGCTAAGATTAATGTCTTATTCGGTGAATGATTCCAAAGTTAATCGTACTAATTATGACCCATGAACTAATGAGAAAGAGTCTATAAATGCAGTATATCGCGTAATAAAGTTAATTCTTAAACTAAGTGTTTAACATAAAATACGAGGCGTCGCAGTCTTTGTGTAGTCTGCTAGTAGATCAAAAGTGTTTCTGATAGTGCAGATATCGTTCCTTGATACGTGGTTCAAGGAATTAACTTATTGATCGCACATTACGTTATCTTGTTGCAAAGCTGTTTTTTTTTTTGACAACTTTACTTTCTACTTCCTAATGGGAAGGATAAATTTAGCCTTTTATCATTTTGTGTTAACCTTCAAAATAGCAGAATCGAAAACGATAGTATATACGTATCCCTTTATAAAACTGCGTCACATAATTATTTGAATTTTGACTTCAATTTGTTGTGATTTGCGCAAGATCAAAGATATTAGCGTAACCTGTTTAGAAGTTTCTTAGATAATATCTTCTTTCTATGATTTAAGCGCCATACCTTCTTTTTACTAGATGAGATATCGTAAGCATTTACACAGATCAGTAGCAAGTCAGTCATTCTTTGCTATCAATATTATACCGTAATCATTTTTTACTCGGAATAATTCTAAAAATAGCTTCATGAAGCTAATCGCACTGGTTGCTAAAGATCAATAAATGCATAATTAAATGATAAAGGAATAATGCGATAATAGTACTAATAAATAATTACTTGACATATAGTCGAATTTGCTACTTTCTCGATCACTAGCTGTAGTACAACCCCAAATTCGCTGGATATTGAATTACCAAGACTGTCTTAAGACAGTTCGAGTTAAACATTTAATTATTGTTAGACAAACTAATTTTACGCAATAAACTGGAGTTTTACTAGAAATTACAGTTCTTCTTATCATACCTTTAAGACCCTTTATTATACTAACACCTACATTTATGCTCTCGCCCAAGACGTAGTGTAGCTAATTACTGGAATGCAGATTAATAGTCATACCTATAGCGGTATTCAAATGGACTATAAACAGTAAATCATCATTACGCGTAATACGTAAAAGAAAATCAAATTTTTCTGTCTTTCATATCGCTATTTCGTATATTCTATTTTTCTAATATAATATTTAAATCCACTAAGATTCATCACTTAATAATAGCTTTAGATTCAATAACTGCTTTCTATTAGCCACTGCATATTTACTATGTTCACTATCATCCACAATAATATAAGCAAGAACCGGCTTATATATTCTGCTCCAGAATAATAGTTGTGATAACCATTCCTACGAAGATTTATCGCCCTTCAAAATTACTTTAAAAACCTGCAAGGATTGACTAAAGAATAAAATTTTATTTCGAATTTGTAGTCTTTACCTATACTACAGAATGAGAAGAAAATATTTTCTAGTTTTTAATAAATGAAATAAATTTAAGGGTTAAAATATCTGAAATTTTACCAACAAAAACAAAAATATAAGTCTTCTATAATGCAATAACATATAGTACTGATATAAATTTAAATTATCATTATTGTATAAAATAAAATTTAGCATACTAACTAATTTGATGTTACCAGTCACACACACCTGCGAAATACTGCAATCCTTAAGTAAAAAT